AAATAATCAAATACAGTTGTTATCACAGGGATGATGTACATAATTTTGCAAAATAGAATATATTATAGAATATAACATGAAAATTTAAGATACTAGTACACACTAAGAGCTATCATCTATTCAAAAAAGAATCACAAGTATGTATGTATCAAGATAATATTTCATGACACGTATGATATGAGAAACGTTAGATATATACATAGCTCATGCAAAAAATGGCACTAAAGTGATCGTTAACATGATACTTTGATACAATGTATGTCACATAATGATAATAGAAACCAAAAATAAAATTTACTCATTGGTTATGTAATTCAAATTACAACTAAACAAAACAGATATATTACTTTTGCATTTTAAAGAAAAATGATACAGAATACACCGCATTCTTGCATTTAATAAATAAATCATTTAATATACATGTATCTTTCTACATATAAAAAATACTACAACTTGCAATAAGTTCCAAATCTGTAATAATATTTGACTTCTGTAATCAAGGACAGACTACCTTATTAAATATGAAAATAAAACCTCGAAACTTGAAACTAGCATCATTTTGAATTGACATTTAAATGGTTTAACATAGGAAAATAAAGAAGTATACCGAAATATGTAAGTGTTCTGCAATTTTCCATAAATGAAAAACATACAATGATTGTAAAGGTTTACAAGTGATGCGATACTCTTATGACATCAAATGTACATGTATCTTAAAAAATTGATAAAATATGAATGTAAAACATGTGTAAAATATATATATATAAAAAAAATATTTGCAGGACTAGCTAAATAAAATATTTGTACACATTGACATAGATAACTTCTAAGCAGAAACGAAAAATACGTGTCACCTACTATTGTAGTGAAGTGTTTGGTGTATCAACAGATATGAACATAAAATATCGAAACATGAAACTATTATCTGGTGAAAATAACTTTTGAATGACATTTCTAAAAATATAAAATACGAAAAGAAATACACCTAAAATTTAAAGATCCTGTAACACATTTTTTTCATGGTTTTATTTCATAAATATGATGCTCAAATTAAGATTGGTCAATATTGTAAGTTCCAACAAGCACTATTTATAAAGATATTACCGAATTTAACATTTTATGTAAATAAAGAAATAGAATAGTAATTAGAAATTTATTTTCTATAAATTCTAAGTTAAATTTTCCAATTAGAAATGGATGCATGCAATTTATTAAATATAATGTGCACAAATATTTGCAGTACACATTTTACATATTCTTCGATGTTTGAAAACTGTTTTATTTGCATAATAATATATATATATAATTTTTTGCAAGTGTGGTATATACACAGTAACAATATCAATCACAAAACATACAGGATCTTTAATTAAGTTCGTGAATAGACTATTGATAAACATTTTTAAGTGTTCTGCAACTTTGTTACAAATAAGAAAACATACAATAATACAATGATTGTGAAGATTACTAGTGATGTGATCGTAAAGTGACATTATGCCCATCCAATAGTAAATGGTGAGAATTCGGGTTTAATAACTTAACGTTTTGTCACATTTGTTGTCAATTTTATGATATACTTTACCTGAGAAATCAACTTCTCCATTTGATCCACATAAATATCTCTAAATATCCTTTTGAAATTATCGGTATTATTCAATATAAAAAGTAGGCAGTCTTTTTATATTATGACAGTTTCATATTTAATTCTTAACGTTTGTAATTATCAATTATTGTACAATTGCCATTTTAAGTAATCAGTCTTTTGAAAAATGAATCTTTTCTTTCTTTGCGTGACAGTAAAAAATGAGCATTATGCCACTTTAAGATATCAATGACTAATGGTATTATTTAAACAATAAATAACAGAATTCGTATATTTCTTTCTCTAGCCAATAAGTGTTGTAAGTCACAATATACAAAACAAGGTGATTGATATGGTGCAAAAAGAAACAAAACCAAGAAAAAAAACACAAAACATATATCAAAAGTGCCATGATGAACATGCACCGCTGATCAGTGTTTATAAAAAGATTTGCATATTTTTCTCTGTTCAGCGAAGCACACGTGTTGGTTTTTGATTCATCAAAATAAATTTAAAAATCTTAAAAGGCAGACACTGATGAGTATTTGATTCATCAAAATAAATGTAGCAATATTTTAAAAGTCACTAATGAGTATTTTCTTTCTAATGATATTAAAATACAATCAGCATATTTAATAAAGATCATTTTAAATTATTTTTTTCTATATACTTATGTGATTGTAACCAATAACTGTAGTTATTCATAGATTGATTGGAATTAATCAAATCATCTTTGTCTGTGGTCACCAATAGTTTTTTTTAACTTATATCAGAATAAAACAAAGAAATTATTTAGAGAAGAATATAACATTCTGAATCTTTAGAGAATGATTTCTCTGACATATATTAAAACGAGAGATTTAAGAAGGATGAACATCAACATACAAATTATAAAGTGACTATACATGTTTATACTGTGTTCGTACCGCTTTCAATACTCCATAAAAATGGTATGGCATGGCCGTGCATATATCTTGATCTGACGTCACTTTTTATTTAGGTGACATTATTTCCCCTTTCGTTTAGTTTGTCCATGACTTCAGAAAATTTTTGATCCATTGTGTTCGTTATTCTCGTTTCAACATTTTTAAGATCTTCTGATAAGTTAGCCGTTTCAAAACTTTTAAACGAATCGACTCCACACGCCTGAAGTATTGATGTTATTGGTGTAACAATGGTTGTCCCGTAATCTGTTCCACCTTCGACCATACCCACGCAGATATATTCGTTATCTTCATCAGATCTTTTCATGAACACGAGAGATCCGGAGTCTCCACGTTCTGAGAATGCATACCTGTCTGTAAGTGGACACACCTCTAGCTGGTTGTGTAAAGTAAACTTAAGACTCCTAGCATCTATTATACTAAGTGGCCTTACCGAAACTGCAGGTGAACTCATTTTGAATATCCCAACTGTTTCGTGTGTTGTGCTTCCAATCTTAACAACGGGGGCATCATTTATCCTAGAAAGTCCATATGATTTTCCACTATTAAATCGCATATCATCATGTCCTGTAAAAAATGTTATTTTAAGATGTTTTAGAGGATATTCGTTTGTTTGTGTGTAAGATGAAATTTTATTTCATCGAGTGGGCTTTAAAAACAAAACAGTATTCTCACGAGTGGTGTAGCCATAAATGTAAATATGACCTTGACCTTTAAATCCTTGACGCCTTAAAATCAATAGGAGCAATTTACTGGCAAAAGCCAATTCACCTTTGAAGTTGAAGGTTGACGGTTCATGGGTTGTCGAGTAGGGTTAGGGTTAAGGAGCAGGTGATCAGAGTGGGATAGGAGTCTATCTAACCCTAACCCTTGGTCGGAAACTATTTTGACATAATAGCTCAATGTGAACTTGACCTTTGATCCCTTGACACCAAAAGCAAAATAATTCATCATCTAGTACCCAATTCCAATACATCTATAGATGTTTAATGGTAGTAATGGGCGCTTGTTTTCAAGCGTTATTGATCGGAAACAATGTTGGACGGACAGATCAACAGACGGACATGCCAACCGACATTATATTGCAAAATCATATGTCCCCTTTTCTTCGAAAGTGGAAATAATGATAAATGTAAATAACTAAACAACACACGGTCAGAAGAAACTATAATAACAAACTACGCATCATCTATTGTAGACATAATTGTATGGTTAATGGAGTATAATTGTGCGTGGTTATATAGTTTTGACAGAGACAAGATGATGCTAGAAAAACTCTTGTAAATAATAACGTTCTTACCAAGGAATGTTCCGGTGTGAGGATGTCGTCTTTCTACTTGGAACAAAGCGATCTCTAACCCACTCTGATCATCTTCTCCTTTTTTATAATCAGCTTGTACAAGCCGTCCCATTACATTTGTTGTGCCCCCTGGCTGAGTGACACTTTCATTTGGATGAAAATTTGGCCATATTATGGAGCCAATTCGCAAAAGATCATCCATAAATTCGTCATCTAACAGTACATGTGCACATGTTAAACCACATAAACCGTATGTCGGGTGATCTATGAATCCACCAAGAGTTCCAGTATAATTGCTTTGTTCACTTCCAATATTGCAACCCATTTTCAAATTGCTTAATGTTTCATGATTGACGGGATTTGCTGGATGGGTCATAAAGCTCCCCTCTCTTACATCGACTGGAATTTCGTCGTAAAAGTTATCAAAAGGTTCTTCTTCAATGGGTATGTACTTCTTTGTATGTACGTAGAAAACTATGCAAAGTTCCGGAATAATGTCAGCATTTTCAGACCCATATAACTTTGACCTCACAGGACTTGGAGCAATAATCGACAACATTTTATGTTTTGAGAATAACGTATCAGCGTGTTTGTTTATACATTTCTTAAGTTTCTGTAAGTCTTGAAACGACAGGTTTTCCTTTGTTTCCAACTGCCTTTGTGTAACTGTTTTGCCTTCCAAACTGTACTCTCCTACCGGTCTTATTTTATGTGGATATTTTTTAATTGTTTCTTCTTCTTTTTCGGATAAATCTTCTTTGGTACAAATAACAAATATGATTTTCTCACAAAGATCACTATCTTTAAAATACGATGGTATAACTTGAACAATTTTTTTAGATTTCTCTTTTATGAATGTACCAAGTTTATTGCAAAGGGTCGTTATCAGTTCGTCTTTTCTGCCATACCGTTGAAACAATTTATTTAGAACTTGTTGTTCGGGGAAATTTTGATTTTTGATATGAAATTCTGCAATTTTCCTGGCAGATGTAGTGTCTGTACTAAGGCAATGTTCCCAATCGGACACTTCTTGGTCTGAAAATGTAACAAGAGGGCCATGATGTTCCTTATATCTCTCACCTGAATATAAATACTCTCTATGACAAGGAACAAGAAGTAACATTGTAAACTATAAACACAAACAGGTATAAAATCTTATTAACTGATATCACAAAGTTCATATTTGTATCTCAAATATCTAATATCAAAATTCAAATACGCAAATGAAACAGATTTCAGGTTTTATAGTGTGTCCCAAAATTGATTAAAATGTGCTTTCTCCAAGTTTGAATCCGATTCAACAACAACAAAAAAAAATAGAAAATACGACATTTTTTAACAAAATTATATCGATCATATCAAATCATCTTTGTTATTATAAAGGTACAGGAAACAAATGTTACTTTCTTTTGACCTAATTTTGTTTTCCAGAGAAGAATTCTCTACACTGATTATACTAACCTACAACTAACTTTTTCTGCAGAAGTGTTTAATTTTATAATGCAATGATGTCTACACTTTATGGTTGAAAATCATTTACACAAATAGAATATGATTTTATTCTAAGTAATTCTGCTGTTATGCTACAAAACAAAATGTTCCATATTTGGGCGATGTGACCCAGTTTTTAACCCCAGGTGACTCATATTCGAACTGGACCTAGAAATCATCCAAATAATCTTTCAGACAAATTTCAAGGATATTTGAATCAAAACAGTAACCACTAGAGTGTTAACCAATCATAAGTTCATTATTTCTTTTATGTAGATCTGATGACGACGGTATATGTTGTGTCTTCTTTATAATTCGGATTTCCCGAGAAAGCTATTTTAGCCATGCAATCAAACTGGTTTTTAAATAGGCATTAGAAGGAGTATCAAAATACCGTTATACGTGGAAGTTGAACAAAATTTTGATTTTGGTTTTAGGTTCAAGCATATTTATATATATTTCACATATTGATTTATCTGGGTCTGTTCAATTTAACCAAAGACAAAGCATTTGCATTAATATAACTGGATTCAAATAAGGTTTCGCAATATTTTTGATGACAGCATTTAAAAAATTGCTTTTGCTTCTCTTGTTCCATTTGACTGGTTAACTTTTAAAAACTTGTCAAGTGACAAAGTACTTCACCGACAACTTTTAAGAAGACTCTTTCCCAAGCCCTTGAAATTCTAGGCGTTGATCAATAATATAGGAACAGTTCCGAATATTCTTCAGTGCCCATGGTCTTGATGTTGTCAGGTTGATGCATTTCGGTATGCGGAAAATTGGACCTACTTACTGATAATATTTAATTGATGAATTCGGATGTTGTCATTTGCCTTAGTCATCCATTAAAACGAGGCCATGTTTTATGCAAGATCTCCAGATTTTTGATCTAAGTGACTAATGATCATCTTATTTAGCAAAGTATCCTGGTAGCATTAATTTCTTGCATCTCGCAGTGAGAATAGGAGGGCAAAATCAAATTGCTGCATGTGTTTCTTGTAGTAATATCAGTTGTTTGCTATATTATAAATATATGCACATTGTGCATGCTCAATAACATGTCTAGCCAGTCTCGATGTTAGGGACTTGAGGAGAATAATTTATATCTTGTAGAGTATACATGTGTTTGCGTAATATCACTATTTTGTGAATTTTACATAATACTTGATCATTATAACTCCTAACAACAAAACATTTCTTGTCCTTTGTAAGGTGGGTATTGTCTTTCATTTGTGTTTGGCACCATGTTAATATCAAATGTTTAAAAAAAAATTGTTTCTCCCATTTTTGGAGCGACTGTCGAAACTATATTCCTGCAAAATTTATCGTTTTCCCTCTGCAAGATATCTTCAAGACTAGCAACATCTTTATAGATCAGATTGTATTTTCCATCAAATAATCCCTTGTTCAAATCAACAACCTTTATTTTATTGCAATTTGAACATACAAATCAAATAAAGATGCCTTGTTGCTCTGCATAAGTGGCCACAATGATTTTGTATTGTGTCGTTCAAAATAATTGAACGAGGTCATCTTTTAATTTGAAATATATGATTTAGTTTTGAATGTGTTTAATAGACGCGTTCCTTTTAGTGCTTACATTTATAAATATCACTTTTGCTAATCGGCCGACATTTTGTTTTTTTTTCTTTCTTCAACTACAGAAAGGCGCTTCGTTACAATTAGTCGGTTTATATAACGCTATATCATTCATTTGCTTAATATAACTGCGACAATAACTGAACATATCCGAAAGGCGGTACGGTCTAAATATTTACAATCGGACAATAGACGGAAGCAAAGTCGGAGAAAGTGACACCCACCCCTTTCCAAAAAAAAGAAAAATCTCGGTCAAAACTGGTCCTTGCGACTTTGAAATCCGCAGACTTTCGCGGAAAAATGGTTTCCCTGAAATAATGTAATTTGAATGATTAATTAATGATTTTGAAAGTAATCAATCTCTAAAAACATGCAAAAAAGGTGTAAGAATCATTGACATTTAGTGTTATAAAAGATATGTAAGCGAAACGAAATTGACCTTTCTTGAAATCAAAGTTTTTTGTTTCAAAACAATATCTTGAATACTTACCGGATTTAAGCAGGTCGTAAGATTTTTTTAATAACAAATAATGTGTTGTTGCCTCACTCTTATGTGGAGTTATGTCAAATACCTCATCTCCTGCCATTTTAAATTTCTTTGCGCTTTTATTAGGTCCGTAAAAGGTTTCGCCTTGATTGGATATAATCGTTTCTAACTCACAAATATTAATAATTATGTTGGCCCGTGAAAATATTTCATTGTACTCATGAAGTTCATTTAATCTATCTGTCGGTTTTCTCTTTTTGGACTTTCCTATTTGCATTGCCTTGACCTCATCCTCTTTCGTACTTGTAAGTATCAACTCGGATAAAACTTCAGAGATAGTGTGTGTGTTGACATTGAATGTATCTGACTTGATCTTTTATCACATAAAATATAAAACATAAAAATATATAATTTTTCATATAAATAATAGATATTGAAATTAAAGGTTATTAAGCTTGATTTAGAATAAAATTTTATAAGCGATCATTTCCTCCAATGTATTGCTTGCAACTATAAATAACTGCATTTATTATTATGTTTTCATGCCAAATATATTAATACATGTAAAGTATTTCGCTAGCGTTATCTAAAAAAAGTCAATAAACGTACACAAAAATAAAATGCAACTCTTATGCCATTCAATGATACCAGCTTGGACAGTTTCAAAAGTGTTTGCGTCTTTTGTCCTAGAGGATTAGAAAAATATCAAAACATTAAGACCGTCAGATTTCAATTTTCAATAATAACTTAACAAGTACAAGGTGTGAGGTGTCAATAGTATCGAGTTGGGTAAGTCTAGTGTGTTATAACCTTCACAATACCTGTTCCAGTTTAGCTACAGTCTGTTCTGCTTCTTTGACATGAAGTCCTGTCAGCACTATCATCATTTCTTTTAAATGCGAAGAGATCTGCCATTCGGAAATTGTTAGACTGTCGCAGTTGCGATAATATTTTTCAATTTCTGAAAGCTAATATAGAATAATGTAAGGGTTTCATTTCAATGCAATTATATCAAGGGAAAGTCTTCTGATGTTCAAACAAACCTAAAAACAGGAGAACCGCATACGGTGCAAACGATCGCCTGTTCAAAATTCTAAGATAAAAAGGGACATATATGAAAAGAAATGCTTTCAGAATTATGCCCATTGTCAAACAACTGCATCTTGTTCCGATATGCAAAGTCCATGCTTATACCTTATAAAGTGTTTGAATAATGGGATACATTACACATATGTACGTAACAACATTATAGTGTTCCGATACAAAAACGACGATGACGACGCAAAAGCAACCATAGTAGCACGACTTTTTCTTAAAAACAGACGAGCTAATAATTCAACAACATTAATATGGTATTATTCAGAGTATTAGAAAACACAAAGTATCTATAATGTATCAATCAATAATTTCTTACTAGTTTTTATACACCCGTTTGAAAAACGGGTCGTATTATAGTTTCCCCATCCCCCTGTCGGGCGGGCGGGCGATGTACAATTTTGTCCGGAGCATATCTCCTACACACATGGAAGATTTTTAATTAAACTTCATAGAAATGTTCACCACTATGAGAAGCAGTGTCATGAAGAACCAGGTCCCTAGGTCAAAGGGCATTGTCAAAGGAAAATACTTTAATAATCATTAGGTTGCTTCCAGTCTTATCCTTTTCTTGTATTGATTTTAAATATCATGTATTTAAATATGATTATGTGAAAAATAAAATATGTTTAAACCAAAGGTCATGGTCATACGTAGAGGTCATTGAAAAACGCTTGTCTGCAGCAAAACTTCTACGTGCATAAAGGGAAGTCAATATAACTTGGGACAATTGTGTGGCGGAGTGTTGCGTGCAAAATTTAGGTCCCTGCAGCCAAGGTCAAGGTCTCACATATAATGTATGAAATATAAAAATGTGTATTTGGACCATTTACTCATCATTTTTTGAGGGATTGAAACAAAAATGGTCATTATCATGACTATGGGTGAAAAACATATAATTTAGGTTAATATATGCAAGGTCAATGTCACTAAAGATGATAAAATACAGAGATTTTGTCCAGAGCATATCTCCTACACACATGGTGGGATTCTAATGAAACTTGATAAAACATAAAATTGTTCACCACTATGAGAAGCACTGTAAAGAGTATGAATCAGGTCTCTAGGTTAAATGTCAATGTCACACTTAGAGGTCATTGAAAAAATGCTTGATTAGTGCCGAATTCTACATTCATCGGGAATTATAATGTAACTAGGCACAAATCTTCAACATTGTGAGGCTAAGTATTGTGCACATAATCCAGGTCCTTGCTACCACAGTCATGGTCACAAAGAGAGGTCAAAACTTGTGTACGGGGGCCATTTAGTCAACATTTATTGATGGATTGTAACACAAATGATAAATATCATGAGTAAAAGTGTGACACATGTAATTTAGGCTAATATTTGCAATGTCAATAGAGATGATAAAATATCCAGATAGTGTCCGGATATTGCCCAGAGCATATCTCCTATATGCATATCTATAATGCCTACATCTATGACAAAAGCTTAAGTGACGGGCCTATTTTGCGACAATGTTGCCTTTGTTACCTTTTAGCATTCTCTCAAGAGGGAATTCCCCGGTTTTATTGACTTGACGCTTATGAGATAATGGCCCGAAGATGTACGAGTACACAATGACCCGAGATCCGCAGGCCCGACGGACATTATGAATTCGAAGGTCATTAGAAGCAACAAAATATGAACGTCTTTAAAGCTACTGTCCCACATTAAAAAATGTCTAAAAACATCAACATATTTCTTTACAGTTAATCAATGTGCATAGAATAAACATTAGCAGTTGCCACCTAACGGTTCTAACGTTTTTCTTGACACAGATAAAAACAACCTATTTATCACACCCGTTAACATGTTGCGAGTAGGCCAGCTTGATGCAGGTAGAACTTACTGTACAAGTTTGCAAGCATGCGAGAGGTATTTTTGCAGCTGTGAAAGATTTGTTTAATTCGAAACTTTTTGGGGATATTTTTGCATAAAAGGCACAATTGGTTATAAATTACAATAATTAAAAAATAGAATTTATCATACATATATATATATATATTGAATATAGTATCATTATGAAAGTTTGTATAACACTTCATTTTTTAATGCTTTGAAAGATTATATGCCGGAGAAATGGACTTTTTTTCTTGGGCCGGGC